AATTTTAATCTAATCGATAATAAATCTAAAACGTAAGATGTACCGGTATATTTTAACTGTGTATAGTTTTACAGTACATTTTAATAAACTAATTCACTGATTTAAAGTTAAGTGAATATGAGTTATAATGGTCATATTTTCAATGTCTTATTGGAAATAATATCTAAATAATATTAGCTTTGGTATAGAATTTAATTGAAATTTTGTACAAATATTTTGTTTGATGAATGGTTAACTTCATGGATGATATGAATGAATTCAATCGCGAAACTTAGACTTAAGAGAAGCCGGCAGAGGAATCATATACACGATTGTATTGATGAGATAGAAAGCGATGACAAATATGTAAATGAAGGCAAAATTCTTCCAATGAATGAGAGACCACTCGGGGATGTCTTTGACTTCTTTAAGGCGTTGATCGAGAAAATGGTTTCCATTGAGGAAAACACATTTACCGGGGATTATGTTCGCCAAACACATCTCGATGGTCGAGTTCTCAGCGATGAATGGGGTTCTGACGAGAGCCTTACTTCTTTAAGGCGTTGATCGAGAAAATGGTTTCCATTGAGGAAAACACATTTACCGGGGATTATGTTCGCCAAACACATCTCGATCGTCGAGTTCTCAGCGATGAATGGGGTTCTGACGAGAGCCTCGTTGTCCTGGAACTCATTGAAATGGAGTGTCCAACCGGACCAGTAGTATATGTTGACAAAGTTGATGTAATAGAGCCAATCGGGTGCCGCCAACATAGACCTCAAAGTAGTGCTTCCGAGCACAAGAAGGAAGGACAGGCAGTATATGGTAGTGACGGCCGCAGTGAACGGAGATTTGACAAAACACATCACAGCAATGGTGTGCTGTTCAGTGAACGCATAAATGGCCCAAATTATGGCACAGAATATACTCCACCTCTCGAGCCAGTAGTCATCATAGCGTAGTTGGGCGCACAGGTAGATAACAGTTCCGGCCGCCCATACAGTCAGCACATTGATGGGAAGGTTGGCTATGATTTGTGTGATTATAAAGACGGGACCCCTATATAGAGCCAAACGGGAGGACTCCTCATAGAATCGATTTCGATGCGAAGCGACTGACGAGTAAAGCGTGAAATGAATTCAGTTTTTATTAATTGAGAAAAATTTAATAAAAATTCTGATCCGACTCACAGTTATAAGCGGTGATCGCCGGAGCGATAAAAGTGATGGCAGACAACACATTGAAGAGGAGACCACTCCGTGACTGAAATGAGTTCTGTGTGTTGTCTAAGGCCGGGGCGATGAAGCAGTAAAGCAATGCACAAAACAGAGGGATTACCAGTAAACGGATGAATAGTCTTCTGAGAGTGAAGGCAGACATGAATTGTCGCGATATTAAGGACGTCATCACTTTGCAAGAGGAAGCCCTTCCGTATGCCTGAAATGAATAATAATTACAATTGAATGTCAAGTAATCTTGTAATGAATGGCATGTAATAACCGTCAGAGGAATGTTGACCGGAACCTGAGGGGGAGGACCCATGTATTTGCGGTACTCGTGTCCCTCCACTTTGAACTTATCGACCAGAGCTGCGATCTGTGCCGAAGATTCTATGAATCGGTCTCTACTTCTTCTGTCGACAGTTGATAAACAAACTGATGGATGAAATGAAACAAAAAAAGCTTAATTTAACTGTTCTTAAGAAAATAAAGACTAAATATGACTTACGGTAATACATGAGAGGATTCTCTAACTCAGGACATGGAAAACCAATTCCTCGAAAGTAGTCGATCATCATTCTGGTGCTTCCGGTGTAGACAACATCTCCCAGACACAGGTAAGTGACGCGATCGAGGAATGGGAAGATGTCAGACCGTGGCTTATCCATTGTGAGCACTACTATTCTCTGGTACTTCTTGGCGTGATTTGATAGAATGGATACAACGAAGTAAGTGTTAAGTGGATCCAAATCTTTGGTCGGATCGTCTAGTATTAGCAGAAGAGGGTCTCTAATCATTTGAATGCCAATCGCCAGACGTTTCTGTTCGGAGACATTCAGATCAGTGACATCTCTCTTGGAGACACTGCTGAGCGCCAGGTCTGCCAACACTTGTTTGACTCGTCCGCGTTTGAGCGCTCGGTTGCCTCTGATTGTCATCTGCGAGATATAGCTCAACGTCTGCCGAACACTGAGTCCTTCGATGTGTTGAGTCCTTTTCGAGACAAAACCGCACTGTTCTTGGAATAGGCGTAAAGTGAGCGGAACGTCGTTCAACAGAATCTGTCCCCTTGTGCTGCCCTGACTCACACGATGGCCCATCACATCGATCAGTGCTTTCTTACCCGACCCTTTACTTCCTAATATAGCCATCACTTCTCCCGAGTGTACCTTCAATACAGTAAAAGCCATAATAATTACTCTTTTAGAAATATAATATAATCTATTTTAGATGTTTTACTTTTACAAATCGTGACTAAAATGTTTTAATATTTTTTTATGTTTTTATTCTATATATAAATACTTGTACTTTTTATACAGTAAATGCATATACAATGAATATTATAAATGCATTTAATCGCTATATTCTTAAAGGAAATAAAAAATGATTGGATTGACAATGATGTACTGTATTTTCATTTATAAAAAATTGTTATTAAATTAATCTACCTCAAATACAGTATAAAAACTATTTTTATTAAATGTATCATAAAAGTGTTATGCACTTCATGCATATCTTTATAATTGACTAAAAATAAATTATTAAAATTAAATAATATAAAAATAACATCATACTACAATTTAAGGTACTGTATAAGATTGATTAAATGACAATGTACAATATTGACAATAAAGTGATGCCATACCTCGCATGATATATCTTTAAGTATAAGTCCCGATGCTATAGAACCGGTCACTTTGGACCAACATGAAGACTTGTTGGGCACAATGGGTCCACTATGGGATACTCCTATAAGTTCCAACATGTGTGGTATGGACACTGTTTCCACACCAGCAGGTGCTCCGAAACTCATCTAAATTATTAAAGTATTTACTGTTAAATCTCTCAAAACAAATATTTAAACAATTGAAATATGTTGAGAACAACTTTAATCCATTTTATTGACACTGTTTCCACACCAGCAGGTGCTCCGAAACTCATCTAAATTATTAAAGTATTTACTGTTAAATCTCTCAAAACAAATATTTAAACAATTGAAATATGTTGAGAACAACTTTAATCCATTTTATTTAAAAATTATGAGGTTTTAAGCATTCCTTATAAATAATGCATTCATTATAAAAAAAACAAACCTTTAATAAAGAGGTCAGGTATGCGGCGATTGTTGTATAACTTAATAGCACTTAACGGATTAATTAATCACTATTTGAAAGTTGATAAATGAAGCTTTACTTTTTAAGTGCTATTTTGCATAGTTATGCATAAGAAATACACAATTAAATCGGTTTTTTGTATTAACAATCACAATATTTCAAAAGTACATTTATTAATCAAAACAAGTTTCATAAGTCACTGATAATTTAGTTGAATTAACTTTTCAACCGAAAAAGTGCATAAAAGTTCAATTCGTTGATCACTTGGAAGTGTATTTTGCGGACCCATTGGACTCATGTGTTGATCCCATAAATGGTTGCTTTGACGGCGAGTCCAACACCCGATGTAAAGCACTGAACCGAAACTGAAACGTGAATACAAATACAGGACTGGTTTGAAAAGTGATTTATATATATAAACACAATGAGAATTGAATATAAACTCAAATCCAATCAATGAATTACAATATTCCGAGCATTTAGTGAGAAACTGATTGTCGTTAACACTTGTGAAGTGAATTCAAAGAGCGTCGCAAACGAAACGCTTTGGAAGTGAAATAAATA